AAGAAAGAAATAATTATGTTACTTATGGAAACAACAAATTAGTAGAAAATTTCTTAGAGGACTTATTATTAGAACTAAATAAGAGATTCCCAGACAAAGGCTGTAAGTTGCCCGCATTTGCACCATTATAATTAGCACAGCACATCATCATTTTACCATTATAATTAGCACAGCACATCATCTATAGAGCATGAGCTAGCATAACTCTGCTTACGGTATGAGCTAGCCAACTGTTCATGGGCTTACGGATAACGCCCGCTTCCGTCTATATCTACAGCAACGAAATCCTCTTTTTTTCGTAAAAAATAGTTTATTATTAATTATAATAATAGAATTTAAAATTTAAATTATTTTTTTCATGTGCATTTTTATTCCGAATACTAAAGTTTCAATCTCCAATACAAAAACTAAGCAGATTTCACACTGTCAGTCATTAAATTTATTTCTATTTATTGTAAAAAAAAAAATAATCAACGAACCAATCAAGCTTGGTACTCGAGTCAATTTTCCCCTTTTGCCCCTCCCTCTCGAAGGCCTTGCGTACTATTATGTATTAAATGCAAACTCAAAAAACATGCTCTACAGAAATTCATATGCGTTTTCAAACTAGTAGGCATTCTTGTCAGCAGTCAGAGAACTTAGAAGGGCGGGAAAATGTTGCAACATAAGCCTTCTATTATTGTGTAAAAAAAAATGCACATATATTTGTATAGAAATGGTGCAACAGTATACAAAAGAATAAGAGTGGGAAATCGAAGACACTAAAAATTTTAAAAATTTTACAAGAATGCAAGAAACGTAGGCAATATAAAGAAGATATTTTTCAAATGTGATAAGAAAGTTAAATTCTTCTTGGGGCACCTAAAACAAAAAAATAAAAAAAGATACAGCAAGGTTAATGGTTATAATCATAAATGCTTTATTTTCTCAGTTCCATATTTATATGACATACCGCATTTTCACCATACATGCATCAGTTGATATCAAGAATCAGTAAAAATGTTAAATGATTTAATCTTTACTTGTAAATTTATGTAAAATAAATATATATTTAAATAAATTAGGTTGACAAAATATATTTTGAATAAATGAAAATTAATTTTAAATCATTAATGATTTAAAATTTTTTGTTTTTTTAAAGATAAATAATTAGCTATTTTTAAAAAAACAAAAAAGTTTAACTCAAAAATTGAGAATTATATTAGAGTTATATAGAAAATATTTTTATTTTTTACGTTTAAAACATTTAAAGAATATATTTAGTTTTAAAATATAAAGTTTGTAGTTTGATTCTTGAAAACGTAGACGTTCCTTAAACAGTTGGAAAGTAAACAAAAACTTAAATAAAACAATTAAAAAGTAAACATTTCAAGTAACGATACCGCAACTTTCAAAATCGGAACCGTAATATCAGCGCAACATAAAACTAAATTTTTGATTTTTTTATACAGAACAATTCCAATAACCTTTAGTAATCCAACGTATGTTTAACAATTCCAATAACCTTTTGTAATCCAACGGATGTTGTAACTTACGCTGCAACCCATACTCTCTCGAATAAGTAACGTCGTGCAAGTTGGTATCAGAATTAAAGACTGGTAAAACTTTCTACAAATCCACTGATGAATGAAATCATAAGTGGATTTGCATAAAGTTTTTCCTTCTTCTCTAATAAACATTTTATACAGTAAAGTTTACTAAATATAAATAAACAAATGTCATTTTTAATAGAGATAAATATTAAAATAAATATGATATTGAATTAACAATTATCAAAATAAAAACCTTGAATTTACAGTCGACAAAAATAAAAAACATGAGAACATCCAACACAAAACCAAGTAATGAGCGTTGTTCATAAATTATTTATGTATAATATATTCAATATTTTATAAATTTATAAAGAAAACTCCGATTGTAAATTCGAAAAATTCGAAAAATTCGAAAAATGGGTTTTGCAAAATTTTCAATAAAACACTTTGCGTCATACTTTAAAACATTTTTTCGGCATGTGTCACAAAAGTATCTCTTTAATTTTTAATTTCTTCCTTACGTTGCTTTTTCATAGATTTGTTTACGACAATACCGTAAGCAGAGTTATAATAAATTTATTTGAATTGAGTATAAATTGTTACGTAAGGTATATTTATAAACTTTATATTAAGGTATATTTATAAATATTTATAAATTTGTAAATCATTTTCCAGCAACAAATTTTTTAGACTTTTTTTTGGTTAAAAATCTATTACTTCATTTTTTCAAATACAATCTATTTACATCAAGAGGAAAGAGGGGTAAGTTTAAATCGAAATAATTTTTGAGGCTTTCATAAAATTTATTAGAGCCTCAAATTTTATAATAGCACTAAATTTTCGAAAAAATTCAATAAAATTTTTCATAAATTTAAGTTTTTAAAAATTATCTTATATATAATTACCCAGGTCACTGATTTCCTAATTCCCTGTCTCTATCGTCCATTTAAACCTTTTAATACCAGTTTAGCCATAATTACAAAACCACTAAACACTGGGTTATCCATAAATATAAATTAAGTTGCGGAAATATAAACTAAAACAAAAAAATCAAAATAAAAAAATTTAAATAAGAAAATATAAAATTAAAATAAGAAATTAAAAAAAAAAACTCTGTTATTGTAAATTAAAATGTAAATTTAAGGATTTTTTTTTAATTTCTTGTTCTAACTTAAATTTCCGCATATTTTGATTAACTATTCCGCATAACTTAATTCATATTTCCGCATAATATATATATATATATATATATATATATATATATATATATATATATATATATATATATATATATATATATATATATATATATATATATATATATATATATATATATATATATATATATATATATATATATATATATATATATATATATATATATATATATATATATATATATATATATATATATATATATATATATATATATATATATTATGGAACAGCAAGACTGTCTCATTAAATTTTTTTCTTTATTAAGTTTTAGACCATAATTATTTATTCAGATCATCCGCAGCTTATTAGAACTAATTGCCTGAGCACATTAAAATCATAAGTATCTCTATTATGGCATATGCGCATCAAGTTTTTCCCGGTGTTTTAATGTGTGTTTATAAATTTTAAGTCTTTTTAAAAATTCTCTTCTTTTCGTTTGTTATCGTTTGTAATATCTATTGAACTTCGAAAATATATCTTATGTATATAATATCTATAGAACTTCGAAAATATATCTATATAACATATAAAATATATTTATATAACATCAATAGAACTTTGAAAATGCTGTATTTGCATTAAAAAAATTTGAAAAGAAAATAAAAAGCTGCCATTAGTGTGATTTATTCAGTATTTATTCATTGGTATGATTTATCAGTGAGCTATTATGTGAGCTAATATATGTATTATATATGTATATATATATATATATATATATATATATATATATATATATATATATATATATATATATATATATATATATATATATATATATATATATATATCAAGCAATATATAAAATTAATGAAAATTGGTTCACAATTGAAGACGTTCAAAATCGTCTAAGTAATCTTGAAGAGACTAAATCAATTGGTGTAGATGGAATTCACCCACGTGTATTACGTAACTGTGCAGCAGTATTTGCAATACCACTCAACTCTATTTTTAGGCAATCTTTATTGTCTGGCTCTGTACCTGAATATTGGAAAAATCAAACATTACTCCCATCTTTAAGAAAGGGAGCAAGCTTACGGCCTACAATTATCGACCGGTCTCCCTCACCTCAATACCGTGCAAAGTAATGGAAAACATAATTCACAAATATATTATGGCGCACTGTGTGGAAAACAATCTAATCTCCAAGCATCAGCATGGTTTTATTCGGAAAAAAAGGTTTGTCTGACTAACCAAATCGAAGCTCGCGACATACTTACCGAGGATATGCATCAAGGTTACAGTGCTGATATTATCTACACAGATTTCGCTAAGGCATTCGATAAAGTCCCGCACAAACGTCTTTTACATAAACTGAAAGCATACGGCATTCACAAAAAGCTGCTACTCTGGATTAAAATGTGGCTAAAAGATCGTAAGCTACGTGTTGTCTTGGGAGAACACGTTTCTGAGTGGAAGAACAGCCAATCGCATGTTAGGAAAGCTAAAAAAATGCTTTCTGCAGTATAAAATTAACCTTGTGGCGCACACTCTATATATTTTATATCAGGCCACATCTAAAATTCGCCATTCAAGCCTGGTCCCCGTATCTCGAAACAGACATTAAGTTACTTGAGGATGTTCAAGACCGCGTCACTAAGACAATATCATCTATAAGCCATTTTGATAAAATAAAGCGTCTGCAGGTACTCAAACTAACCTTCATCAAAGAACGTCGATTGCGTGGTGATTTAATTAAACAATTTAAAATTTTCAACAACTATAACGAAGTTCATTTGCGGTCCCACAGCACCAACTAATTGGGCGTGAGGTGTACAACCTTATATATATGAGTTTGAGTTTGAAATATATATATATATATATATATATATATATATATATATATATATATATATATATATATATATATATATATATATATATATATATATATATAAATTTTTTTGGCTTTACTTTACTTCTCAAAAAAAAAAAAAAAAAAAAAAAATTATATACTTATATTGTGGCTAAAATAGGTCCAACAGACGCCCCTGAATATACTAGCTTTGAAATAGAAATGATCGACTTAAAAGTAAGATTTTTTGATGTCTTTGTGGTAAGTAATCGGTAATTTTATGATGTCTTTGTTGTAAATAAACAGTAATAAATAAACAGTAATAAAAAATAAATTTTTTCAAAAAAAAACTAAGAAACGTTTAGGCTATTTATTTTATTTTCAACAAATAAATAAGTGAATAAAAAACAATTACAGTGTATATTTCATTATTGCAAATATATAAAATATGCTTTTTCTTAAATTTTAAAAAAAGATATATATTTCTTAAATTTCAAACAAACAAAAAAATGCTGTGTTCATAATACAAATTAGACCAAAGTTATATTAAAATACTATATTACAGGCGATATCTGGCATGAAAAACGTCATATTGCTATATTATCGATTGGAACAATACCAAATAATGTTATTTAATTGAGGTTAAAGTGTCGCATAAAACATACTTTTTCTTTCTTTCCCAAAAATCTTCCTTAAAAATCTTTTTCAAAATTTCTAACTGCTTAAGAATGATCAAAATGCTTTTCGAGTGATTGTATTTTTTTGTCAAGACATCGTAGCTTTGAATATACGGTTCCTTAGTTCCATTGAGTACTTCGCAGTTACATTCAGAAAATATCTAAATTAAAAACATATGTTACTTAAAATTTTGTCTCTTCACCATATATAAACATATGGAGCGGACTACATATTCAGCTTTTGGCGTAACTAAAAATACTGGTAGTTCTTTTACTTTTGTAAGTTAATATAAACATAAAACTGCTGAAAATTTTGTTAACAAATTTTAAACACTTTGTTATTTATTAATATTTACAAACCTCCACAATACTTTTAATTCGCATGTAAAGCGATTTTACGCTGTTGCATAATTGTAACATCGTCACCATAAAATTTTGACCAGATTCAATATTTGCTTCATGTTTCATTGCAATATATAACTCTCCAAGAATCTTATCTAATAAGTTTTCATACAGTCGAAGAGCGGAAAAATCCTAAAAAGTAGTGTTTCTGCTATTTAGTTTTTTTTAACTTTTTATGGTTCAAATAAATATAAAGTTAGGGTTTATAAATATTAAGGTTTTAGAAATACCTCAATAAGAAAAACTTTTTAATAAACCTTTTCAGGTATAATAATTCTTAAAAATAATTAAATCTTAATAAAACAGATTATTTGTAAAACATTATAGTTAAAGGTGGAACGTGGCTAGTTGAGAATATAGACAAGTTAGATATCTTGAAAAACAAGCATTGCATGTCAAAACATCTAATGAAGAAAATTAAAGAATTAGAATGGTAACACGATGTGCGACAACAACAAAAAAAAGGTTATCAAATAGCAGTCGAGTAAGATGTAAGGATACTTTTTCTGTTTTGGACCGAAAATAGTTGAGGTAAGCTTATAAAAAAAACAAAAAAACTGAACAGTCAAACGCAAAGAAACAACTTTGATAAGAAAAATTCTTGCGGTAGGGGAACCTGTTGTACCTAGGACAATTTTTTAGATATACTTTTTTTATTGTGATTTTGCATAATTGACCTTTTAAAATACTTGCATATTTTAAAAAGTCAATTATTTGGGTACTCACCACCAAAATATCAGTAATGTATATTTTTTACTTAGTACACAAATTTTAAAAATAAGAAAAATGCTAAATAAAGCCACGGTACAACATACCCTATGTATCTTGTCCAGTACTAGGGTGTACCTAAGATATATTGAGAATTTTAGCAAATTTTTTTAAATGCAACCGTTTTATTCGGTCTATTACATTATTTAACAAAACGACTTAAAAATTCAGAACAAAATCAAAATAACTTTTAATTTTTTTTTGCTAAACAAATTCTTTAAACAAAAACAACAAACTCTTAATTATTATTTTGTCACATCATAAACTTTAAAATTAGTAGGTACATAGGCCTAGGTAGGTACATTTGAACATTTCACATATATATATATATATATATATATATATATATATATATATATATATATATATATATATATATATATATACATATATATATATATATATATATATATATATATATATATATATATATATATATATATATATATATATATATATATATATATATATAAATATATATATATATAAATATATATATATATATATATATATATATATATATATATATATATATATATATATATATATATATACATACTACTCAGCTGCTAAATTTACCTACACCCTGTATTTGGGGCAGGTTGAGCAGCATGGTAAACATAAGGAAATCTTAGATTTATTAACATTTTCTTATCCAGCTCTGTTCAGCTCTGATCATGTATATTTCATGCATTTAAATATAAATTATAAAGTTTTCTATTGGCACCTGTAATAATGGATCAAAAGTTCTTACCGAAGTTAGCAATTTAGCATTTGGACCTTTAATCAAGCCTTCTGTAGTGTGGTAAGAACAAGCAGAATCATTCAAGGTCAAGTCGTGTTTAGTTAGCCGTAATACCTAAAAAAACTTACGAAAAGTTTTAATAAGAAATATAAAGAAATGTATTCTGAAATTTTATAAAACTTACCAGTAAGCATTTTAGACGATGAACAGCCACAAAATGATATCTATCCATAATCAAATCTTCTGTTAAACTATGAAATTTCCTTAAAGCCTCCGTGCACGATTTTTTTTCGCATTTTGGAATAATTTTGGAATTCAGTGGGTTTGTAGAAAGCATATCTTTACTTTGATCCAGCATTTTAGATTTTGCATTCACAAGTATTATAACCAATGTTGCTAAAAATTATTTTATATATATATATATATATGTATATATATATATATATATATATATATATATATATATATATACATACATGTGTATATATATATATATATATATATATATATATATATATATATATACATATATATATATATATATATATATATATATATATATATATATATATATATATATATATATATATATATATATATACATATATATATATATATATATATATATATATATATATATATATACATATATATATATATATGTATATATATATATATATATATATATATATATATATATATATATATGTATATATATATATATATATTTATATACATATATATATATATATATATATATATATATATATATATATATATATATATATATATATATATATTCATATATATATATATATATATATATATATATATATATATATATATATATATATATATATATATATATATATATATATATATAATAAAACTATATTTTTCAATTTCATTACTCATCAGATATGTATCTTTATATCAATTTACCTAAAAGAAGCATTGCTTTTGCAGACTGCAACCAGCGATAAGTTTTTCAATATTTTTCATTTCTTTTCGTGTTTTTTTTTTTTTTTAAAAATTTCACAGGTAACTAGGAAACTACAATCATTCACACTGAAAAACTGATAACAAACGAATTTTTAATGCGTAGTTTTCCATAGTGTTGTTGAAACTAGATATTCTAAGAAATGCTTTTTCATTATTTATGTTGGTTTGTTTCATAGAATTTCCTAAAAACTGAACAAGTTTTAATTATTTATAGTATTTGATATTCGTATTTAATTGTATTTAATAATAAAATGCTATGCAAGCCTATTTAATAACATTTCTATTTTATTACTAATGTCAAATGAGGATTTGTTACAAAGAGTTACATTAATTTATCTTGGGGGTCGTCCGTAAATTACGTCACGCAAATTTTGACCAAATTCCCACAAAATTGTAATACTTAAGAATCAAGTTTTGTATGAGTTGTCACAAAACCACCAACCCCCCCCCCCCCCTCCTATAGCGTGACGTAATTTATGGACGAGCCATTGGAAATAAGAAGAACCCAAATAACTTCCCACCAACCTTTCTGGTGGGAAGAAAGTAATTTAACCATAATTTTTTGAAAATTTAAATTAAGATTTAAAATTTTCACAGAATTTAAATTTCATGAAAAGTCCTTTGAAAGTTGTGAAAACTGTGGTTACGGCTCTGGTAAGCGACAGCCGTGTCTTTTAATGCAGAAAACCGGCACATGGGACAAATTACCTATTATAGTTCTGTCGCTTTTAACTACTTTTTTCTATTATTTATACTAATTAATTTTAATACATTTCCCTGAAAAAGTTGCAATTTACCTGATAAAAGACAAAAACGCTCACATAGTTATTGTAAAATAAACAAACAAAAAAAGTACGATCAAGTTGTACTAAAGTTAGATGATACAGAGTTTTCAAGGCTTTTTAATCCTTTTAAAAGTATTTTAATCCCGTTGTTAAATTACTTTTTAATCCTAAAATGACAACTTTACAATACAATCACATAAAATATACGGTTTAGATGAATCAGTAAACTAGTTTTAATTTCAAATTAACTTTTATTAAAAGTTTTCTCTTCTTATTTGTTTGACTATTGTCTTACATGGTTGAAAAATCTTATACAATCATTTCTTGAAATGTTATATATTCCTCGATGAGTACCTGAGTAACTCTTTATACGTATTTGGATTTTCTATTTTAATATTTATATTAAAATATATATATTATATTATTAAATATTTTTTTAAATTTAGAAAAAACTTCCTTCATTTGATTTAAATGAAGGCTGTATGGTGGAGTATAAATTTAATTGAAGGCTGTATGGCGGTGGATAAACTAATCGATACTTGTTTCAACAATAATTCTGATTATCTCTCATTTATTAAATGAACAATTATTCATTATTATAACCCAATTTGTGAAACTATCCTTCCTCATAATTTGGAATAAATTGTTCAAATATTGCAAAAATGATTCTCGATTATATGCGCAACTCATTGTTTGATGTTGAAATGTTTGCTTTGTGTCAGCTACTAAAACAGAAACATTGTTTGATCTGATTGTTCGAACAACTTTTTGTGGTGTCGTATTTACTTCTTTTCTTCATTTTTTTTTTTTTTTTTTTATTGTTGTTAAAATGCTTATACCAAATTGACCATGTAAAAGTATATTTTCATCATTTGGCGTTAAATATTGACAATACAATACTTAACGCCAACTTTGCAATCACAATTTGCAAGTCAGTACATTTTATTGTTTTTGACTTATATGTTGAAATAGTCGAATTTGATCAAAAGCTCTGGGATAGGGTGAAAACAAATTTAGATATTTTTGATCAAATTATTTGTTTCCCTAGCCTTATTACTATTAGAATCTATAATATTCTGTGAAAAATGTAATAAAATAATGCTTGAAGAGAAAAAAATCAGTACAAACGAATTTCAGCAGTTTAATAATTTGCGACCACAAGTTATTAATCTGAATTTAATATTTTCTTTTCTACTTTAGGAAGCTGGATTCAGATGACATCGTATAACAAAATAGTTAAAGTGGAATATTTTCTTTTCGGTGGTAGGTAAAGACATGTTCTACCAACACAAAGACCGTCTTTTATCAATGTTCTTATCAACACACTGGTCATCTTTTATCAATTTTAATGTTATTAAACAATGTTCTTTAGTATTTTTCTTTATATAATTGGTGCTTTTATTATTTAGGAGCTTTGCTGAACCTTTTCTATTTTTCGCTAATTTGATTTAGTTTTTTCATCTTCATACTTGCTCATTATTAATCTCAGAATTAGTTGTTGTCCTTTTTCGTCGATTATTTATAATTATTTCTTTGTAATGTTTGTTAATGCTATACTAGTCTGAATAATATTTTTGATATTTTGTGCTTAGCCCATTAGTATTATTTAAATAAACCATGTTTTTGTTACAAATGTTCAAAATCTATATGGTATACAAAAATGTTTAAAAAGATTAAATAACTTTGAATGGGATTAAAATTCATTTTTGAAAGGATTAAATCGTTTGTTAACGGGATTAAAAATTCCATCAAAAGGATTAAATCATTTTTTAACGGGATTAAAATTTTTTAGAAGGACTAAAAAGCCTTGAGAACTTTTTCCATTAATATGTAATATATTACATTTTCTTCAAGCAATAATATATTACATTGTTACAGTGTTAAGTATTTTTACGTAAAATGTTACGTCTCGGTTACGTAAAATTATCGGACATTATGCACACACATAACGAATCCCAGACAGCAAGGATATAATGGTCCCGCACTGGTCCTGTGTAGGCTGCCGCGCTGGACCAGTTGCAGCTGCCGACGTTGGCGAAGGTCCGTTTCGCTCTAAGGATTTTTCATTGGCCAGTCGAGGCTACCCAGTGATGGTAAAACAGCGGCTAGCCAGTGCAGGACAAGATCTGGCAGAACAACGATTAGACATTATTACACCGTACCATTGTGACTTTGTCAAAGTTAATTAATTGGGTCGCGCTTGGGATTGTTGCGAATTTTCATGTAACAATGTTTTTTGAAGTCCCTATATTTTTCTCTTAATTATTCTTTTTTCTTATTTATTCTAAGCCTTCGTAATTATTTAAAGTTATTTTTAGCAGAATTGAATGTATTTTTTTGGTTAAAAATTGAGGTCTTTTTTATTAGTTTAAGGAAAATAAAATGTTTTAGACATGATTATTGACATTTTTAATTTTTAGGAATAAATTTAAAAACAGACTTAAATTTTAAAATATATTTACGCAACAAAAAACAATTATTGTACAATGATTTGATTCATAGTCATTCGAGAATGATGCTTTTCTGCAATTCATATCCAATTGTCAACATGATTCGTTATAAATTGCTGCTTCAAATGGTAACGTTATTTTCTTCTTTAGAACTTGCATTCATTTTACCTTTAATAAAATAAAAATAAACTTAAGTACAACTTTATAATTAATTACATATATACTTATACAACATAGCAACAACATATATACAAAATGTTCACAACATATAAACAACATGGTTATCATGTTATAGTAACAATTATTTTTTTTATTGACAAAAAAATTAAATCCATTAACAACAAACCATAGTTACCTAGAATAAGTGTTTAGGATCTTTTATATAAATTTATGAACTAAAATGTAATCAATAATGCAATGACAGTTTACAGGAACAACCAAGTGCAGGATACTTTCAAATATACTTATTAAAACATGTGGTACTTGGATTATTATAGACCATAGAACTCCATTGCCAATATCATGCCTTGAGATTTACTTCACAGCGATATACTTCTTAGCAGATTCTAAATACAGTATAAAACATACTGTGACAAATTAGTTTATCATTTTATTGTAAATAGATAACTTAAAAATGTTGTCACAGTATGATTACAACTTAAAGCATCTTAAACATTTAAAAGATGTACATAATCATTAAAACATTAAAATATTGAAGATTGAACATTATTAACACATGTAAAACATTTTAATGAAAACCCGAATACAATGTTTTTTCATTACTGGCAATATCCAGATGAAATCTGTTTATTTAACTGCAATACAAACTTGTTAGCAAGGAAAAAGAGAATAAAAAAAAGGATTTAAATTACTAACTGTGTGTGGCATGTATAAGGTGTTGGGGAGTACTAAAAATGTTACGAGACTACTTTGATAAAAAATGCATTGAAAAACATACAACGTTGAAAAAAAATTCATCAAATTTGAATAAATAAGGCAGTTGTGCAAACTTATACAGATATCTTAATTATATATATATATATATATATATATATATATATATATATATATATATATATATATATATATATATATATATATATATATATATATATATATATATATATATATATATATATATACACGTTAATATTAATTTACTAAATTACGAAAGGCAACAGTTAATTATATATAAACAGCAATCCAAAAAATCAAATGTTCAACATAATTTTTTCTTAATAGAATAGTTGTCAAATAAAACCATTTATAATAAAAAGTTGTGAAATCGAAAAACTTAAATATATTTTAAACACTCTACAATAAATATATACAAAATTGTAAAAAGCTGTTAAAGTCTGATATCTACTTTTGCTAAGCTACACACTAATAATGTGTATTACAATTTTGTTGCTTTATTCATATTTATTTATTGTATTAATAAGTAAACAATTTGGAAAAATTTTTTTTGAAAAAGTTATTAATTTAATAAAATTATTAATTTAATTTAATAATGATTAAACTGCTACAGAAAATAAAAAAGTCAACAATGAATTTTCAAACTATTTTGCTAAAAACAGTTATATGTCCAAATCTAGATATGTTTATTTAGTAACTTTTTCTACCTTGTGCATCATTTTAATGATACTTTGGAATCCATTTTTTGATTTCAACCACTTTGCATAACTTTGTTATGTAACGTAAAAAAAATTATATTTGTAACATATTTAAATTACATTTCGATTCTTAAATTATTTACGTCATACTAAGTCAAGGTTGGTTGTTTTAATTATTGCCGTTTAATTACAAAAAGCTCTAATTTTTAATAAAAAATTTAATACAATGAATGAAAAATTGTCCTA